GTTGAGCTATAGGCGCCGAGCCGGAAATTCTTAAAAACATTTGGTTCACATAGACCCACGTCTCTAACTCTTTTCAAAATGCAGTAAGATTGTTTGGTCCTAATTCAAGAAAAGTAGAATTCTCGTGTGTCTGGAATTCAAACCAGCTGTAATATTCAGGGGTTTTTTTATTCACAGCACAAACATCAAAGCCAGGGGTAAATGGGCACTTTACTAGTAGTTACAGATTGCAATCAACTGTGGGTTCTCATACACATATGCACCTTGCTCATTCTGTAACAGTTAACTATTGAGTAACAAAGGCAGACTGAAGTGTTCTCAGAATTATAGGTTTTTTATTTAGCTATCCCTTTGTTGACACATGAAGAAATATCCATTAGCATCCTTCTTTATCTTTCATATTTCCTTTCTCTCTAGGTTGGACAAGATGCTCCCTACACACCAAACCCGAAGGAAGCTACAAGGATCACTTTTATCCACGAGACATACTTCTGAAAGTCCTGCTCTGCCTCACGCATTGAACGAATGATGCTACACTCTCTTCTCCTTGTTATTAATCAATGTGGGCAGATTCTTGTCAATTTAACATTTGCATCTTCAGTGGGGACAATGTAATCAAAGAGGAATTCCAGGTCCTCTGAATGAAGGGAGAGCCTGGGCTCATCCTCATGCCACTGCTACTGACTTAGCCTCAAGCCTCTGCAATTCACTTTGTACATCCAAAAAATGGATATGTTTCTGTCCCCTCAAATGAAAACAGAAAGCCTTCCCTCCACGCACGATAAATGGACCTTATTGGTCTCTTTGACAAAAGACTTAAACACTGCCTCCAAGGAACAAGAGCAGCTCTTAATGTGAGGCAGCTCCCAACACCTGTCATCCTCCTAGCTGACTTCTTGCTCACTGGCTCTCAGCTAGCTTATGGTGGGGTTCCTACTTTCCCCTGGTGACATTTGTAAGGTTTTATGATTTAGCTTCTGCCTCTATATGTAGCTTTCAACACAGTGGTGAAGGCAACTTGACCCTAGGCATTCTAAAAGTTCTCCTTTCCTCATAAGTCATCCCAAAGGGATTTAGAAACTGTAGACAAATTGTACCCAAATGAAATCTCCTACCAATCCGGAATTCCTGAGGTGGGTCTGGTATTACATCGTACTTTAATAGTGAGCTGCATATATTTTGGATAAGGATTCCAGAGAAAGATGATTATGATGATGTTTTATCAGAGGTGCATAGCTATGAATCAAGTCTGATCCACTTGAATAAGAGTTTGGTAAGAAAGTGGAAATAGCTGATCTTTACACTGTGTTTAGGTGATAAAAGGAACAGCAAGAGAGGTAAGACAGGGTCTGGTCCTGCTTCTTTGCATAAGAGTGAAACCATTTCATTTCATTTTGTTGAAATGTGTCTATGTCTAAATAATTGTTTTCTAATTCAGGTGGTAAAAGCCATATTTTTTTTAAAATATGGTTTTTCAAAAAAACCATTGGTTCTTTCACTCAAGTACTGTCCAAAAATAGTAATTCTTAGGCTCGGCGCCTGTGGCTCAAGTGGCTAAGGCGCCAGCCACATACGCCTAAGGTGGCGGGTTCGAATCCAGCCCGAGCCCGCCAAAACAACAATGACGGCTGCAACAAAAATAGCAATTCCTAAAGCACTACTAACAGGGGTACATCTCACCCTAAGGCCTGAGTTCATACTCCAGTTGAACCTGAAAGAGAACAGACACAAAGCATGGATGATGATAGGTTTAAAGGAAGGACCTCTAAATTTCCATAGAGCACAATTTGAAACTACATGAGGGAAAAGCACTGGAGTAGGCATTTGAATAAATGAGTATATATATGTATATATGCATACTCATATATTATATATGTTATATATATTATACATACACATGAATATATACACATGTAATATATTTTATACATATATTACACATATATTATTTGCATCCTGCCACTGATTCACAACATTGCTTTACCTTTATCCTGCCATCTGTGGCTTAGTTTTACCATAAAATGGGGGTAGGGGATCCCCGCTCTTTCCCAGGACCACCAGGAAGATGAATATAAGCATTATATACTTACAAGCTCTAGATGCAGGACAAATAACCTGCATTCATCCCCATCCTTCCCAGCCTCATCCACCGTAGAATGTCCCCTAATCCAGAAATAGGAGATTTCTAGGAAAAGAAACATGTGGCAAAGTCTACTTCACCAACTCCTGTGCGAGAGTATAATCTGGTTAACATTTGCACTGACTTTCTTGATAGAAAAATCACTGACAAAATTGGTCAGGCACAGTGGTTCATGCCTGAAATCCTAACACTCAGGGAGGCTGAGGCAGGAGGATCGCTTGGGGCCAGGAGTTCAAGACCAGCCTAAGCAAGAGTGAGAACCCCCTCTCTACAAAAAATAGCAAAATCAGCCATGTGTTGTGGTGCACACCTGTAGTCCCAGCTACTAGGGAAGCTGCAGCAGGAGGTTGCAGTTATCTGTGACAATAGATAGCTTTAGCCTACAAGTTTGAGGTTGCAGTTATCTGTGACAATATCACTACACTGGGGTGACAGAGCAAGACTCTGTATCAAAAAAGTGAACAACAACAACAACAAAAGCCCAGTGCAGTGGCTCATGCTTGTAATCCTAGCACTCTGGGAGGCTGGGGCAGGTGGATCCTTTGAGCTCAGGAATTCAAGATGAGCAAGAGTGAGACCCTGTCTCTCAAAAATAGCCAAGTGCTGCCTTGGAAGGCTGAGGCAGAAAGATCACCTGAACCCAAGAGTCTGAGGTAGCTGTGAGCTATGGTGCTGTGGCACTCAGGGTGACAAAGTAAAATTCTGTCTCAAAAAAAAGGAAAAAGAGGGGAGGGGGGATATGGAAGGAGGAAGGGTATTAGGGGAGACCTCACCTAATGTGCATGAGGCAATGGTACATTTCAAAACTATTAAGAAATGAGTATAATTCTGATGGATGTGTTACTTAGTTCAACACAAACATTTCACATTGTGTATCGAAGCAGTACCCTGAACCCCATAAGTGCATCAATGTACAAAGTTATGATTTAATAAAAAATAATTTAAAAAAAAGAAAAGAATTCACTGACAAAATCAAAATTGATTGTATATATATGTATACAAGAAAGTCAGTGCAAATGTTAACCAGATTATACTCTCGCACAGGAGTTGGTGAAGTATCAAAAAAAAAAA